CATATATATAGTATATTCATATGCATTGATCAAAATGATATCTCAGTCTGCAAGTTGAATGTATTTCACCAGAACCTTGTTTAAAAGCTTGCAATCCTGTATTAAATTTAAAATTTCAGATATTTATGATTAATTTTAAACAGGCAGTGAAATGCACAGCTGAGCATAGCCGCACCCTGAGCCACACAGAGGACTTCTGCAAAGGCAGCGCGGACCAGAATATTCAAACTGTTTGTTTGCTCATCACACTTTTGTTCCCCCATTAACATTTCACAAGTTATAAAGTGCACTTCCACATGTCCTTCTGAAGAAAACTACAACAACGTAAGCTCCAAGTAGATATGAACACCTCCACAGCTGGCGAGGGAGCGCACGCATTACGTGAGTACCGAAAGTGTGACTATAACCAAGCCTTCAGGCTGCGGGTTTCAGGAGCTCTGAGGCAGCTCGTCCCATAGATCACACACAGCTCTTGATCAATGCGGCTCAGGTCTCTGTTTTAAAGATCATCAGCTTTGTCTCACCTCATCCTCTCAGGTGGAGCGTGAGAATTTTTCTGTGGATCATCTTTTCTGACGGCTGGTTCAAACATATCTGCCAGCTTTGTTTTTCTCTCTGTTCATTCTTTTATACATTTTAAAACTCAGTCTTATATAAATTGTTTTTGAGCCCCGCTCTCTGACTTCTTCCCCAACATGTTTACAGCTGTCTGTCAATCATCGAAGGACACGCCCACACATTCTGACAGAAGTTACGTGTCTGCTCCATAACTAATTCTGACAAATGTCCATGAATGAGCAACGTTCATGTAGTGCTGGGCGGTGTACCGGTTCATACCGAATGCCGTTTTTTATTTTTGTTATGATATGAATTTTCTGAATAATCGACATACCGGTTTAAATAGCCTGAACACGTTCAGAACGTTTCGTCGCGGCCGCCAGTGAACTGTTTCCCTGGGGACACTTTTCCTCGCTGCACCGCTGTGTGCATTAGCATGCTAATGTTATTGTTGAGCAGTTTGTTGCAGTGGTGGGTGGAGATTCACCTGCTTACATTGGCTGACGTTAAAAAAAACATCTTGTTTTCGCCATCGCTGACGTGCACGGTTAGATTTAACACGCGACATTAATATGGAGACGTGGAGACGCATGGAGACTTTAACGTGCTTCTATTGTGAAAAGCCCGGGGGAAGTGGTTTCCTTGTGGAGTTGAGTTGACTGGTGTGCAAGGTGAGTCGTCCTGATAAGTTTTATTACATGACATAAAACAACAGACTCGATAATAATCTTTTCTTAAAGACTAGACCAAAATGTGTTACTACTGTCTCCAACCACCAGTCAGAGAAAAGACATATAGAGGAGGGAAACAGCAACACAGACAGAGGTACAGTAAAAGAGAAAAGTTAATAAACAGTGTTTGCACATTTTATTATCAGCTGAGATGTGATGAAAAGAAAAATATCGTGATATACCGTGAAACCGGGGTAAACGTTGAAAACTCCGTGATATAAAATTTTGGTCATACCGCCCAGCACTACGTTCATGTAACATGTAACAACCATTCACTGAGGGTTTCATTGACTGACCAATGAGAGGAGATTATGCTACACACTGTAGTTAGCTAACACTTTCAACATTATTTTAGCTCTGTCAAACGCTCCAGTTTCATATGACCCTTCACCAAGTGATTACTAAAAAAGGCAGCTTTATGGCAATTTGTTGGCTCCAGGGTGAAATTATCCGGTAAGTTTTTCCTCATAAAATCTTATTTTGGCTTGCGTTTGTTTTTCAATATCATTAGCATCACAAGATTGGTTTAGTTTACACGTCCACAATGCAGCCCCCACTTTTTGTGAACCACCAATAACCAGGCAGTAGAAGAACCAATCAAATTTCATGAAGACGAGCGACCCGAGAGCGCGATTCGCAACGCTGCCGTCGCATCCCGTGTGTCGGGTGTCACCCTGGCTGCGATGACAGCTGTTAATCGCTGTAGTTTGTTGCTCCCTGTGTGTGGAGCTCTTATCTTCCATCAACAAGTTGTGTGTCACTGTGTGACTGCTGCCAAGTTCTGCAGAAGTTCCTCTAATGTGCTACAGAAGTCCAAACACGTTATAAAAAGCTTGGTAGGGCTAATTTACTCAGAGGTTTTATATCTGTTGAAGTCAGCAACACGATATGATCACGTTCAAAAGGAGGAGCTAATTGGTGCTTTTTTTCTCTTCCTCAGTGTGTGCAAGCGTGTTGGACAAAATTTGTAGATGTTGCATAAGTTGCCTAAAACATCATAGTGTGATAGGACCCTTAATAACAATTTAAACCAAATGTTTATTTTAACACAAAACAACTAGTTGTGAGAGACATTCAGTAAATTGTTTGAAAAAAATAAAGAAATGTTACTAATTATTTTAATATTTGAGACGCATGACAATCACCCTACTTACAATGTGTTAACATTTTTATCTAATTAAGGCCTTCATATAGGGACTGATGAATTCAATGCCTTTTAAGACTTTTTAAGGATCTGTGGGAACTCTGCATCAGCAATGAATGGATTCAAGGTCACATTAAATTGTGTTAACATCACAAGTTTAATTGCACATTCATTTGTCTTTCTTGTAATTAATGAAAAGCAGGTAGTTTTCATTCCTTTAAGCCTAAGAGCATAAATCTACAATTTAAATAAGCTGATAATTAAATTAAAGATATTAAATGTTGCATGGAAAATAAGAAGGAAACAAATCAGATTTATATATATATTTTATAAAGATGACACTATGTAATCTTAACTTGATGCATGGAGGCAGAGACAGGTGTGTGTTTCACCTGGACGCTGTAGTGTGTGTCCTCGTCCAGGTCCCACAGCACACACCAGCGGCTGGATGTGTTCACCTCTCGGATGGAGCGCTGCATGAGACCGTCCTGCCTCTGGAAACCAGACACAAAGGCAACACATGGAGGAAATGCTCACAAATAACCCAGGTTTTAGATCCTGCAACCTCTCTAAGATATACCAGGAAGTCTAAAGGAAACGTCATGTGAGAAGTTTAACAAAAAGTAAAACCAAGCTTAAAAAGTCCCGTTCTACACAACCTTCTTTCAGCAGATGTTTAGGGTCTCTGATAAAAGATGCATCAGTTGGAATCAGGTGATTTTCAGCTTGACTGACCAAGAGAGGACCAGACACTCAGGAACCCAATTCCTGGGAAAATTCCCTTTTTCCGGTCCAGTGAATGCATCACGCTTGTGTTCAACACATGTGAAATGGTTTACTAAGTGAGTAAACCCCAAACATTTAAACCTGTGATCTGTATGTACAGTTGTTTTTATTGTTTTTTCATTTTTGTTAATCTACAGCAGATGAACTGAATCTGTAAAAACATGTCAGTAAGAAACAAGGAAACTAGGTAGTGGACAGAAACAGTGAAAGAGCAGATGAAGTATTTTTTGAAAGTCTAACCCCTAATTTACACTGCATGCGTCTCCGCTCCGCTCCGGTCCGACCTCCGCAGCAAATATGCACCCATTATAATCAATGAGAGTGTTTACACTGGCTGCGCAGGACAGTGGTGAGCGGACGGCGATCCGTCAAAAATTAGAACAGATCCTATTTTTTTGTCACTTCAGTAGAAAACGAAACCAAATATTATTAGTTTATTTAGTTTATTTATTTCTTCATCATCAGTGACTTTTTTAAGTGAAGAGAAAATAGAGACAGAGAGAAAAACAGAGAGAAGTAATTAGAAAGACTGAAATAGCGATTAGAAGTATATTAAATATACACCAACAAAACACAGGACCACACACCCAACATCTGTCCGCTCACCTGAAAAATAAATGGATAAATACATGGAGGGCATATATAAATATATACACATACCCATACATACTGTATATAAAGATATACATATATACTGTACATGCCTACATTCATAAATATTGTCGGTATATACACACAGACATACATACACACTCAGTGACCAGTCAGAACCCCCCGGATCAGAACACCTGTTTGTGAGCAGTTGTGAACATGRGTGTATATACAAGATTTCTCCAATGGAATATTTAATAGTGACTGTGGAGGACCGAGACCCAACCCCTAAGACACGAGGCAGACATAGGGAAGACCAGAGCCCAAGGGCCTGAGAGGAATCCTGAGCGCAGAGCCCCAAGAGGCACCCGCACGGGAAGATCCGCCCACCAACCCCCCAGATCAGACCATAGGGGAGAACTGGGAGAGTCCCCCCAGCGACCACACGCACAGCCCCCGGGGCCAGCAGCGACAAGCTCATGGGCCCCACTGGGGGGCCGAGTAGCAGCGGGCCCCCAGATAAACCAGCAGGAGGGGCAGCCCAGACCGCAGCTTGACAAATACCCAAACATACACAATCACACAATCCCACCCTCATCCTCACCCCCACTCAGTCAAAGACATACAAGAGGACGCCACATTCCACTCATACCCCCGATACACACTCTATACTCTATAAAAAAAGAAAAAAGAACAGATCCTATTTTTGCCAGATGATGGAGCTGCTCCGGAGTCAATTTTTAAAGATTACGTCGCACCAAAAGGAAAGGAAACGAGCACAACATCTGTATTTTCAAAACAAGACACTTTTCGGCAGAATAATTTGTCAGAATAATGTCGAAATTGCAGCTATTTTAATACATATATGGATATATTTCAACACAAATGCTGTCAGAATGTATGGTTCTGTTTGGGAAGCAGATGGAAACATGTAGCATGAAGCATATGTGTACACACACGATACACGTGGATTTTATTTTGAAATCAGAAGTTTCAGAAAGACGACAGTGAGACAGTTTCAACATAGATACCAAAAGCCTTTATATCAATGTTTTCAGCTGTGTTTGGAGTTTGTCTTTCACAGAATTAATTATTTTTTGCTATTATCACTGAATTTATCACGCAATCTCCTTCCTGCTCACTCTGTCAGACCGGAGCGGAGGCTGTATAAATTGAGACACAAACGAACACCTGCGACCTGCACCGCAGCGGAGCGGAGACACATGTAATGTAAATTGGGGGTAAAAACCGCTGATCAGGATGACTTAAAAAAATTACAGGAAACTCTGGCTGCTTGAAAAAAAAAAGGCCTAATATTCCTTGAAGGAATGCCTATCACCCGCCACCATTCATGCCAGCATTTCAGATCCAGGTCATCCCAAGCTAAGGAACGACAAGTTGCAGCCGTTTTGGTTAAACTTAGAAAATAACATTCTACATACTCTCAGGCAATTAGGAGAGATGTCACGCTCAGTGTATGTGTTGCACATTACCCTCAACTACTACAAATGTCAGATCATCTGTCTAATTTATGCCCATTTTTGTGTTGATTAGTGGCCATCTCGATTTGCTTTAACTTTAAAAAGTAATCAGTTGTAGCTGCACATTCAATGATTGCTTTCTGAGAATTTGATTAAAATACATCAAGGGAGTCATGAGATATTTTGCGAAGGAGCAGGACTTTTGCACAGTCTGGTCCAGTTTTAAAAAGTCTGTAGAGAGCAGACAGCAGAATAAAATATTTTAGCTTGCTAAGCACCAACACAAAATAAAATGTCTTTTTATATGACATTTAAACAGGCCAGTAACTGACCGCTCACTAAGCACATCATTAATCTTTGTTAAACGTTTTTTTTTCTTTTAGCTAAAGCTTGCTGAATATCTAGCCAGCAGAAAGACCATTTTCCCAGCCAATAAACGTGTGTAAAATAGTGAAAGCTGAGGAAAGTCAATAAATGAACGTCTGGCAGGAAGCTAGAGGCTGGAGTGGTTTGCTCTGCTCCTCTGGCAGCGTTACAGGCTACACATCAGGAGAACACTCTGTTTTTAATTGCTGCAGAGCTCAAACTCTTTGATTTATACAGAATGTACAGATGCTAATAAATATATTTGTATCCTTTTTGTTAAAGAAAAATCCACAAACATTTACTGAAATAATATCTGCCTATTTAAAGGGAAAAGTAGTCACAGGGGTATTTGGTAGCACAGTGAACATAAAGCTAAGGACAGAGTCATCTTAAGAGCTTAGAAACATAAATAATGTGGGATGTTCCTGAGACTATGGCAGAACAGATTTTTCTGAAGTTTGAGGTCCACAGGACTGGAGAGAACCTACTGAAAGTATCCACAAGAGAAAAACAGACAACAAATTAAAGAGGCTAAGAATAAGAATGGTAACAAAGGAGCCTTAAAAAAACTTCCAAAGAGATAAGACATATGAAATCAGGGTCATCAGTGTCAGATCGCACCACAGGTCTCTTTGAACCAAAGTGAACTTAATGGAAGACCAATGAGGACACCAAATCATAAAAAAATGTACTGGGTTTTACCAAAAATGAATAGTAATAGAGAAAATGTCCTTTGGACAGATGAGACAAAACTGGAGCTTTTTGGCAACAAGTCCTACCTGCTCTTTGTTCACTGTACAAAAAAAGTATAAAATAAGATCAAAAAGAAAAAAACTGTATATGTCCTCTGGACGGGTTCTTCTTTAATGAAACGTTTCGTCTCTCTTCCAAGAGACTTCTTCAGTCTGAGAGTTTCAGGCAAAATTCAGGCTTTTAAGCACTGCCTCCATGTGAAAGATACTCACATCACATGGCTATCGTTGACACCTAATTAACGCTTATTGTTAATAGGGGGTGGAGTGATACTGGCAAAAGCAGCACTGTAGGAGGGGGACAACTGAAAACGAAGGCCTCCACCTCTGTTTAATGATGGACGGTSTTTCTTCACAAAAATGGCTTCTTTTACTCCTCTCTCAAACCAACGTTCCTCTCTATCAAGAATGAGAACATCCTCATCTCTGAAAGAGTGACCGCTGGCCTGTAAATGAGTGAAAACTGCAGAGTTCTGGCCATTAGAWMTAGCTCGGCTGTGTTGGGACATTCTTTTGAACAGTGGCTGCTTTGTTTCCCCGATGTATAACTGGTCGCAGTCCTCCTGGCACTTAACAGCATATACATATTGACCTATACAATTTTTTTCTTTTTGATTTTTTTACCTGGATTACTGAGATGCATCAGGATATAAAATAAGATCACCCATGTTTGTTAAGAAGTCTGATTACTGTAGGGAGAAAGTAGTTTTACAGCCTATAAGTCAAATCTGGGCAGCAGATACCTGTGTCCAGATGGAAGCATCCTGAACTCAACATGGAGCAGACAGGTGTGGGTCAGATCTGGTGTCAAGCTGGAACTGCTGGTGTGGCAAGTGGTTTGTGAACCGGATGTGGGCCAGGTCTGGTCATGATGAAGTTTTTAAGATGGCATGCCACAACAGTGCTAATCTCAAAAGGTTGTGCAACAAATTAAGATAAGAACATCATTTTTTTTTGAAGGAAGGCTATTTTTATTTTTATATTTCTGTTGAACCACAATTAAATTTTTTTTTGATAATTTTTATTGCATGAATTTGTAAGTTGTACTGGTTGATTTTATGAATTTGTTGGCAGACATGCTTATGTAATTTTTGTGTATATGATGCATAAACTGTATGTATTTTATTTGTGTAGAAATGCCCAACCAGGGACTGGAGTTACAAATTAGCTATAGCTGTAAACTCTTTGTGCAACGCATCAGTTACAGACTTGACTTGTTCTATGTTTTTGTATGCACTGTCCCTGTTAAATAAATAAAGATAAAGATAAAAGCAATGTCTGACTTTCAATTGTTATTACTTTTGTCAGTTTCAAGTTATTTTAGTGACCTTTAGGTTTTTTTTCCATTCTTTACCAAAAGGATAGATTTGTCCGTCTCTGTGGGTTGTGTATTTTTGCTGTAGTCTTATTTAAAATGTGACCTAAATGTCTGCAGGTAAACACACAAAGTTGGATTACATAACTGTTTTTGATGAGCAGCAGATAAACCTTTTCAATCACAGGCTGAAAATACTCATC